GGTGAGTTCTAGTCCAATTCTTAGTAGAATTCTAACCTGTGTGGAGTTCATTAGCACCATCATTACTGTTCACATTCTTGTCAGCATTGTGGTCTTCAGAGACTGTACTGGAATTACATTAACACTGATCACAACATGGTAAAGGTCTCCATCTAGCCTGCTTCCACAAATATGAAATATGGGACCCAACCCTCAGGTACAGTCACACCAATAGTCCTTCCCTCAGTAGCAATTTCAATGTGTTGTCACGTTTTCATTTTGTAACAGAAGGGGGACCCTTAAGAGCTTATCAGTTCAGAAGGACTCTGTCCTCACGCATAGATCACCCTCACTCTTGAGTCTGAGGTGCAATTACTGCTAGAGTTGGTCTTGAATAAAGATGTTATTTGTCCCTTCTGTTCTAGCTCTCTCTTGTCCACATGGTGCCTTCTACCATATTAAAGTGAAGGACTTTAGAGGCTCTGACTCATGACCTTGAGGTTTCAGGCTCTACATCTCTGAAGTAAACTTGTCTTCTTCATACATTGTTCAGTTGTTAGTATCCTAGCAAAACAAAACGCACTGGGAATCTGAATTCACCATCATATTATTTTCCTGCATTTTGAAAAAGTTTGATTTGTCCCTAGGATGAATGGAGGAATCATACATGCAAATCCTCATGGGTGATGCACCACAGTAATAGAGCCAATCACAAAGTCTATGTGAGGATGTCATCTGATATAGCATAAGCAAACAATGGTGAACATCCTTCCATGACAAAACAGTCCGTAAATAAATGTTTGTACCACAGGATAATGAATGTGTTTATGAAATATCCACAGTGTACCTCACACTTAAAAGTAAAAAGTGGGATGATTTTCCTGTAAGATAAGGAACAAGATGACCACAACTTTTACTCACCACTTCTTTTCAAGAGGGAACTGATATTTCAACCACAGAAATTAGACAGATAAAAAATTAAAACATGAATTGGAAATATAGATGTTAACTGGTCTGTATTCACACGTTACATACTTTTTTATTTTGAATTGTGTGAATACATGTACATCTTTTGGGGGTGTCGATGTTGGAGCTTGAATTTAGGGCCTCACACTTTCGAGGTAAGCAGGTACTCTATCACTTCAGCCATGCCCCTGGAGACTGGTTTTACTCAAAAGCAACAAGAGAAGCTTGGGATAATTCTGGAATTAAAAATAATTTAAAATTTGATACAAGTCTTTGACCAGAGTACTGATTTAAGTTTAGGACACATTGTGCACTGATGAAGAGTAAAAACACAGGAACTGAGGATCTACACAGTTCTGATCCTTAAGTGTCCTGCCACAAAGAGCTAGAATCCTAAGGTTCCATCGTAGGTACACCTTCATAAAGGCTGTGCTTTCTAGGACTCATTGCATAGAGATATATGCACGAGATAATTGACACAGCTGGTTGTGGGGCAGAGAGGCAGACACAGACAGAGCTGACTTCTTTCTTCCAGAGTCTGTGTACACCTTGACTGATCTCCTATATCCTTTCCACATCCTGGATGCCCATTCTCACCCATGATTATGGTGATGTTCCCACTGTTCACATGTCAGGTAACACCTGCATGAGGAGGGCACACCTCTGTCTCTGAGGACACTGTGTTTATTATTGGGTGTGTGTCTTTCAGTGCTTTTAATCATATCCCTGATGGATATCTTACGTATGTCACAATGTGTTCTTAAGTCATACTCTTCTATAATTATGGCCAGTTTCAGGGACTTACATCAGAATATCTCAGCCTCAGCCTTTTGACATTTGGATGAGATAACTCCTTCTGTGTGTGGCATTGTCATTATAGGATGCTTTGAAGTATGGAATATCTCTAAAAACTAGATAGCAGGTAGATTTCTACTGCTGTTCTGGGTGACAACAGCAATGTCTCCTTTGTCTTATTTTGGAGGGAAATGGAATAGAAAATATCAGCATGACTCACAGTAAACTGAACAAAGAAGTTCTAGGACATGTGGTGAAGAAGAAGGAAGAGTCTTTGCTTCATAGAGCTCACAGTCAAATAGCAGGTGCTGATACTGGTGAATTATCTGGATCTATTCTCCCTGGAGGTAAAAGATTTTGTCCTGGTGCAAACCTCAAGGAGGAAGTGCTCAGGATGACATGAGTCAGCAAAAGAAGAAACAGGCAAAGACAAGTGTTCAGAAAGCCCTGCATGGAAGAACACTGAGCAGAGCTAAAGGAAATCAAGGGAAGGCTAGGGGGTCCCAGCAGGCAGAAGTGGAATCTCTCAATACAATATTCTCCATACAAGATGGAGACATGTGCTATTAGATTAGCAATCAGACTTTAGATCAAAGATATCCCTGACTAGCACATAATGTGTAATATGTGGTGAGTTTTCAAAACCCAACATGGAAGAGGAGTTAATTTTTAAGTCCTTTAAAAATCTAAAGGAAGGATTTCATCAAATCTCTCTCAAGAGGTTCTTACAGCCAACTCATTTCTTGAATTTTCTTTGGCATACAAGGTAAATGGGCAAAACATGAGGTTGCTGTACAGCTGACTGAAGAGAATTCACCACATGTGCACCAGGGTACATGGCAGGCAAGAAGCTGCCTTCTTTGGGAATGCCCAGCATGGACTTTTCAGATGCTAAACAGCTCACAGAATTTACTAGAAAGAAGGCAAAATTTAACACAGACTATGCTTGCCAGACAAATTAGCTTGTTCTTGGAGTGGATGTCCAGGACAGTTGAGAGATAAATCCACCCAGAGCAATCTTCTCCTTGTTCATGTCCCTGACACTCTGTGAGATTGAGGAAGGGCATTTGCAGAGAGTGTGGAACTAAAAAGACATTTTCCTGTGTATGCTGCAGAGAACATTTCACTGCATTGTGGAAGGGTGAGGAAAACCCTTTTCTTGGACCTCAATCTGTGTATACATGGTCACATATAGACTTGGGAGAAATACTTTCTATGCCCCTGTGAAAACTGTAAGAGGAAATTCGTTCAGTCAAATAACCTGAAAGGCTACATCAGTAAGACACAAAACGATTTTTTCTGTCTTCATGCTTCACTCAAAGAACTAATCTCAACAATTACCCATACGTTGATTTATACTCAATTTTATTTTGGTGAGTTCATCAAAACCCATCTTACAGCAATCTTGCAAACATAACCCAGAACCAGCCTGAACTGCATGCATCACCTTCATCCTGATTCACCTCTTGAAATCTGTGGATTCTGTGTCGCCAACAGGGTTTTATATTATCCTTACCTCATGTAAAACGAATGTGAATCTCTTTGGTTTCAGCTTCAATACATGCTATACACCACAGGTATGAGAATTCGCATGGAGATCTAAAAGAAATATCTGCATCCAAATTTAATGACCATATCAGAGACAGCCTGAATAGCAACTCTAACAAGGCCAGCTTTATGAGTAAGTGATACTATTAATAGTAACATACAGAGTGCTGGACAGCCTATGGACAGCTACATTCAGCAGAAATTTCCAAACCCAACCTGCCAAGCTCAAATACTGTATAGGTCTAAGTTGTGGCAGTTCCTGGCCACAGCAGAATTAAACCACACCTGGATAGGAGCTACCTGTCATGTTGGACTCTGTGTTTGTCTTTATCAGAAGTTTTGAAGGTGTCAGAGAAGCACTGTTAGATGATGCAAAGGATGGCTTTGTTTGTTGTAGTCTGGAAAATAGCTGAGGTGTACAAGAAAACACAATGGTAACTCGCTGAGAAAATGGAATTATTTTGATTTTGATTTAGAGGATTTTCTCTAAAACTACACTACATTTGTTGGTCTTTATCTAAATTATCCAGTAATCTTGGTGCAGCTATGATGTTCTCTGTATCTTCACAATGCAACATTTGTGTTATTTTCACACTTTTCAGAGCAGCTTCAGGATCAGTTCAGAAAATCATTGCTTCTGTTTTTCATTTTCTGATGTATTATATTGTTCACTAATTAACACTAAGCACAAGAAACATATCTAAAAGAAACCTCGATAAGTATTTTCTCTATAAGGCAGATTTCCACCACCTTGCAGGCAGAGACACTGGAAAGAAGTATGGGAACAGTCTTGGAGGACATTATAATTAATGAAATAACCCTAAACAGGCCCCAATATTAGAAAAATGGGACTGAATTCCTTAAATGGCTAAAGAAGAAAGGAAAAAATAAGACTAGAAAAACAAAAAACTTGTTCAACTTGGGACTAGAAAGAACACACTTTGCAACAAGAATATTTCTGTCACTGAGTCAAATTTCCAAGGATAACTGCATAAATGTCACAGAAAGCAGCTTGAGTTCAAATACATTTTGCAGCAGAGTAATTTTATAAACATGAAATTCAGGAGGACTAATTTTTGCATAAGATTTCAACAACCTGGCATTAGAAATCCAGGACAGTGCATACTTTACACACTTTGACTTGTTTGTGAGGTGCTACTTTAACCGGCATCGATGTTGTTTCTTCTTTGATGTGTGAAGTCAGTAATGAAAAATACTTCCACATGATTTAAAATTTCCTAAACCTTAGGGACAATGACCACACGTGACTCAGACACACAGAGAAATAGGTTGATCAATATTTGTATATACAGCACATTGGATCAGAAAAACAAAGAATTAGATTTTAAGCAGAAAATAATGATATTCGATTAAGAAAATATTATATATAAAATAAATAAAATTGACCCAGGAGATTGATTGGCAGGAAGTGGAAACCACTGATGGCAAACATAGACATATCAGGAAAACCCTGACCCTCATTGGTGCTGAGGATCACCTTGTGTCTTCATCAACACCTGTGGGCTTACACTGATGTCTCCTCACAGTGCATCTGGAAGAATACATACATGAGTCTGTCATCTGATGTTGGGATCCTCAGTGGTAAGGAAGTGTGGATCTGTGATGGATCTCTGTTATTTGCTCAGGATTAAATAGCTGGGTCATAGCTTATCTTTTGACAACCAATGTGGCAATGGTCCAGTAACGAACTTTCATGCAGCCTTATGAAGCAGAGGATATGGTAGCTTGCAGAAATGAATCCAGATACAGAGCAGTTGAGGGACAGTGTCTGAGGGCTTCAGGAATCCAGGTCCTGAATCAGGCATCTGTACCTGGTACAGGACACCAAGGAACAAGGAGCATCAACATCATTCATACACTAGAAACCCCATGGGCTCACTATGAGACCTCTGGACTCACTGTGATGTCTTATTACTGTAATGTATTTCTCACAGTAATACATGGTAATGCCCTCCATTCATTTTTAGATATAGTATTTCCTGTCATTAACTATGAAAATGAAGAATCTGCCTTTCACTGATGCATTGTCTTCTCTTATATAAGCATTGGCTTTGTTGCTAATAAAGGCAACCCAATCCAGTCCCTCCCCATAGGTTTGTTGGATTCATATAATGTAGTAATCACTGACCAATTATAGGAGAGTAATCACAGAAATCACAGGAGAGTCTCAGGGCCTCCCAGGTGAAACCAAATGACCTCCAGTCTCCACCAGCTGCACCTTACACTAGACACCTGCAAACACAGAGAATCCTGTTCAGGGAACTGTCACATTTACACACTTTTTCTCTCACTCATGTCCACTCACACACTCAGACTCTCTCATTCTCCATAAAGCAACAAGGAAAATCCAGCTCAACCCCAACTCCATGGTGAGTGTTCTGTGTTCAGTGCTGATCACTGAATGGGATCACCTGGAAATCCAGAGCTGGGCTCTTCTTCCAGAGCTGCAGGACAAGAGATGGCCTGGTTTTTATGAGAAGAGGGAGGCTCTATTTGCATGTCCTCCTGCCATATAGAAAGATCTAGGTGGAAATCTCAGTGATGGAAGTGCCCAGAGAACCTGTGAAAATTCATGGCATATAATGAGGCAGGATAAGAGCATTTTAAAGAAGAATTAATAAAACCAGAACCACAGATTGCTGCTCCTATATCTCTATCCCCTTTGAGTTTCATGACTCTCTGATGATTGCACATAAACTTCTTTAAATACTTGGAACCACTTTTACAAAGAGTGCTGTGAGTATCTTGATCTTGTGTCTTACTATCAATCAGGTAGTTCACTCCTAATCCTCCACCCTCTCCTTCAGCTTGGTCAGAGTCTCAGTTATGGAACTCTGTCAGATATTACAGCTTTCTCAGATCTTGCAAGGATTTACACACAGTCCTAAAACTCTTCATAGACTTCCAGATTCTCATTGAATCATCAGAAATATTGCATCATACATAATGTTTTTATTTCCAGAAATTTCTGTTCAGCTTCACTGTTTACCCACTGGTCTTAAATAAGGGCACAAGAAGAATCATGGCCCAGGAGAGAAGAGGAGGTCACTTAGTAACTTAGCACTGCTGTCCATAGCTGTGTGTAATTGCATTGTATTTACCAGGCCAAAGGCTCAAAGTAAAATATATATTGAATGTTTACTTAACAAAATCTCAAATATATTTAAAATGTAACATTGTAATTTTTAACAGAATAAACAAGGAGAAAATATGTGGAATGATATCAATAGTAAAGAAAAATAACCTGGGATAGTGGGTGAGGATTTCCCTCACTATTACCAGTACCTGATAATCAAAAGGTTTATTGGCTCCTGCCTTTGCAGGTTCCAGTCTATGATGGGAAGACCATAGCATCCAGACATTGGTGGCATGAAAAAAGCAATGATAGTGAATGTGTGAAGAGGAAAAAATCCCTCATATCATGTCCAGGAATGAAAAGAAAGAAAGGAAGAGATCAAAAGCTCACAGCCACTTTTAGGGGAAACACTCAGTGAACTAAACCTGTAACTAGACTCCACTTCATACATTTTCACAACACCTATAATAGGAGGTTAGGAAAAAACACTATTGCACAAGGGACTTTGGGAGATTTTTCAGATACACCTTTTGGCCTAAAACAATGTTAGTATGAAGAAAAATGTCTTACATAAATTTAATTCTAAATAAAGTTGCTGATATAATAAATTAAATGAATGTGATAACTTATGGATGAATATTAAGAAAATTCACATGTACAAAATAAAATCAAATTTTAAAACAGTTTATCTGAGAAGATAAACAATTGGCACTTAGAATAGCAGCCAGTCCATCCATCTTTTGAGAATACTTTACCTGTGCTGACTTCACCTGTGCCATAGAAAACTCACACCACAGGATGCCTCAACCTCTTGTGGATCTTGGACATCAGGTGCCTCCCAGAGAATTCTGGGATTGAAACCACATGTATTTCTTATGCTTTTTCTGTGTGAAATCAAGACAGACATCAAGATAGAGAAAAATGGTCATCTGGTTGAAATCTGGGGGTCAGGTTCTAAACTCCCTCTGACAGAAAAACACCCAGGAGCAATGGGCAACCCAGATGATGATTCTTTCAGACCCCATTGGACATCTGTGCAATCTTGGCTTATTGTACATAGATTTGTGTAAAATTGAAAATGGAATTGGATGAAAGTTACATAAAATTTCAGATGCTTGACTGTGACATGAACTCTGGTCACTGGGCACAGTGGTAAGGAAGCAATCAAACACACACCCAGTCTGTTCACTCAATGACCAGTGTCCTCACACACACTCTTGTCATCTTATCTACCACAGTGCTCAGCCATTGGGAATATCTGGAAATCCTGTAACTGAGGGTAGTGAGCTGTGGGAGGTGCCCTGTGGTCTGCAGCTCTCTGGGCCTCACATGATGCATGGCTGCCCTGCACTGGAGCCTGTGTGACCTGGAATCATACGTGTACATGATCAAGAACTCTGTAGGGTGTCACACACCTCCCTGAAGTGTCCATGGAAGAATGGCTGCATGAGATGGGACTTAGAGAATGATGGATTTGGTGACTTGAAGATGTAATTTTCAGTGACTCTTTTTTTGTCCCTAGAGATTAGGGAACAATGGCAGGAGTGGAGCAGTTCTCCTATAGACTTCTGGGGTTAATGATCATTTTATTCTGAATTCAGATGTTAAGAGAGAGGAGATGGTGGAGTTTGGTCTTTTGTGATGCTCAGAACAGGAGATAGTGGGCAGGAAGCAGGGCTCCATCCATCTGGTTCTCACTATCCACTTGAATTCTCCATATGGAAACTGAGGAACTGGTCTCAGCACATAATCCCCAGGGATGTTTTCAGAACCCCAGGCTGAATATGACACAGCAAGGATGGGAGTGGTTTTCATGTCTGTTCTTGTTTTAGCCTTTCTTTGTAATCTGAGGGCTGTGTTCTCAGGTCTTCTGGAATCCCTCTCCATCCAGGGACCTCAGTGATGAATAGAGAAATGAAACTCTGAACATCAAGGAATCCAGTGTGTGTGTAGAGCAGGAGAGTCAACAGCCCAGGGAGCACAGGGACCTGAGGTTCAGAGGTAGTGTGGGCTCACACTGCCCACCTAAGACAGGTTCTTCTGTGTGAGAGAAGGGGCTCAGGTAAAGGCATTGTGGACTGTGCTGGTGAATGGTCCCATCTTATCCAAAACCAGAGAAAATCACTTCATCCTTTACCAAGATAAAAGACTTCCATCCAGGTTTTGAGAATAGAGACTACATTCTCCACTACGGATAATGATAAAGAGCACAGAGAAGTGAGAAAGAAACTTGAGGAGAAAAAGGTGGATTTGTTGAAACAGACAATCTGAGCAGTTCTCAGTGTGCTGGGTCCATTTATGCATGAGGATGAGGGTGAGATTTAAATGTAATCCTGTCTGTTTCCCTGGGCCTGGGTTACCTCTGCCCTGGATCCAGTGTGAATTTCACAGACTGTCCTAATCATGCAATTCCATGGAGGTGACTTTCTGATGGGAAAAGACTCATTAGGATTCCCTGAGTATCCTTGGGATCTGGTCCTGGTGACCAGGCAGTCATTCCTGTTTCTATAAGTGACACCTTAGAATTTATGGAGGTGAGAATGTGTCTGTCTGTAAAAATAAAGGTTTTTATTAGTGCACAATAATTATAAACACTAATGTTTTCATAGTGGTGTTTCAGTATGTGAATATAATGAACTTTGCTCATGTAGACCCCAATACACCCTTTCCATTTCTCTATCACTTCTCCCCTATTCCATTCCCACTTTTTTGGGGAGACTCCCCTCTACTCTCAAGTCATCTTTAATTTAACAGTTCTTGTCCCTATATTTTACTTAGGAAACTAAACATGCAATTCTTATCTTTCTACATCTGGCTTAATTCCCTAACTTGAAGCACAAAAGATCACACGTAAAAATATTATACTCTACTTTAGGAATATCAGTGGAAAGCACAGAAACAGGAAACCAAAATCTCCTTTGGGAAACACTCCTGTGGGGAGGAAGCCCCAGACCCTGAAAGAAAACCATCACTTCCCTCTGCACCTGCACATGGGCTGACCCTGAGCTCAGTGTGTCCTGTGTGCCCCCTGCTGGTTGTAAGCATCCCTGCAGGGAGGTTTGTGTTTGGGCTCACACTGAAGTTCACACACTGTGTCTCCTTTGCACTGTAATATGTGACGGTGTCGTCGGCTCTCAGGTTGTTCATTTGCAGATACAATGTGTTCTTGGAATTGTCTCTGGATATGGTGAATCTGCCCTTCACGGAGTCTGCATAATTTGTGCTACCATTACTACTAATGTATGAGAACCACTCCAGCCCCTTCCTTGGTGACTGGCAGAACCAGTACATGGCATAGCTACTGAAGGTGAATCCAGAGGCTGCACAGGAGAGTTTCAGGGACCTGCCAGGCTTCACCAATCCTCCCCCAGACTCCACCAGCTGCACCTCACCCTGGACACCTGCAAACACAGAAAATCCGTGCCAAGAAACTGTCACATGCACCCACTCTTCTTCTCACTCATGTCCACTCACACATTCAGCATCTTGTTCTCACAAATCACCTTTTAAAATAGCAACAAGGAAAATACAGCTCAGCCACAACTCCATGGTGAGTGATCTGTGTTCAGTGCTGATCAATGAATGGATAAAGTGGGAATCCAGGACTGGGCTCTTCTTCCAGGGTCAGGGCTGGGCTGTTTTTGATGAACACATGGAGACCCTATTTGCATGTCCTCCTGCTATATAAAAACTCTGGGTAGAAATCACTGAGAGGGTAGTGTAAGAGCATATCTGAGAGTCCTGGTAGAGATTCTGACAGTGAGTAAAATAATGAAAGAAAGGGGTATGCTTAGTGGGTAACCAGTTGGAGGGGCAATGGGAAAAGGACAGAGACAATGGGAGTGAAAAAAATACTTTATACTCATGTATGAATATAAAGTAATGAAACATGCTAAAATTGTTTGAACATAGGGAATGGATGATCAGATAGAGTAATAGAGGGTGTGAATTTGTTCAAATACATTATGTGCATGCTTATAAATATAAATGAATGCCCTTTTAACAATTAATAAACATTAAAAATACTAAAGAAAACATGGTCTCATTATATGATTATTAAACATTATGAACTCCTCATTTTTTTAATGTTTTGCACATACAAAAAGCTTGTCATTGAAATATTAAATTTACCTTCTTTTAAAACATGTGGAAGTAAAGAAATAATTATAAATATTTCTGCAATGTGTATAGGAGTTCACGCAATGTGAGATATCCCATGTATATGGCTCTGTAGTTTTACAAGATCCTCACACTGCTCCTTAAAGCAACCCTTGTTCAGAGTGAGGCACACCTGGTGAGGAGTACAGACCCCTTTCTGTGATGAACACAAGTGTGACTTTCCTGCATTTTAGAGTTTACTAAATAGAAAAAGAGAACCAGGGTTCAGGCAGATGCATGATTTTGAGTCTCTGGCATCTCAAGTCACTGTTCATCACAGTCACTTTTTGTACATTGACATGTGTTGTCTCTATGTAAAAAACTTACTGTGTTTTAGCACAGGATGTAATAAACTGCATATTTATAGAGAACATGTTTGATGATGCTGACAACATGGACACTTGTTCACCATTAGCACAAATGGGAACCCATATTCAATCCCATTTGTGTCCTTGGATTCTTCTGTAATCCTCCACCTACCTTCCCTCCCCACCCTATCTGCAAACAGCTCATGGCCTTTATGATGTGTTACATTTATCTTCATTTTTAACAATTTATAAAACTACCACACCAATTATATACTTTTAAGTTGTTTTTCAATTTTAAATAATAATGATCATTGAAAATCCCTCCATGTTTGTCTTATGCTCAGTAATTTTGCAATAGATGAAACATTTAAATTAACTTTTGTCAATTTGCCTGCTAATGGGTGTTGAGATAATTTTTAAGTTCAGTTTATGAAACACTAAGCTGTTATTCAGCTTCTGGAGATCAGACAAAAGTTGCTCCTATTCTGACAACAAAGACAACAACAATATTGAACTGGACTATCTGCCAAACAACAACTTAACACCTCAAATACCTGACTTCACAGGAGAAGGGGACACACAGAAGACATGTACCATGGAGACTTGGGATGTTCACAACACTGTCGGGCCCTTAATTCCTGCACTCCACAGCAGCGATCAGGAGTAGTGTCCCTGGGGCAGAGCTCACCAGACACCTTATGAGCGAGATGTACATTATGTTAGATGTTGTTTATGGATTACAGCAGGCCAAGTGTGCTAAGGAAACAAGCATGTGTATGTTCCATGTTGCACAGACTCATGGGTCTTTGTAAATTTTTATTGTTACGCTCAAAGACTTTACACCTTGTGACCTACAAATGGAACAATTTTATCTCTCATGTCTCTGCAGCTGAGAAGTTCATGAAGAAGCCAATGGAAGATTTCTTGTAGGTCAATGTTGGCTCCCTGTTTTTAATTTTCATAATATTTGTATCTTCACATGGCAAAAGAGAGGCTCACTATGTCTTCACATTGCATAAGGAAACAAAAGAGGTCTGTTTCCTCTCACAAGCCCTGTTACAGGATTGCTAATTCCATATAAAAAGATAGATTTCCATGGACTAAATTCACATTGCTGTAGGGGATGGATGCACAAGCCTGGCAGCCTTAACTATAGTCTGCTGTGTTCACATGACACAAGGGCCTTATGCATGTGAGTGGGTTTCCTCAGCTCTTCTTGGCTGATTTTGCATAATGAAGTCTGTGCAGGGCTGGTTTTTTAGCAGCATTACCAACCCCCAAATGTTCTTTATATATATTCCCAGTTGAGACTCTCTGGATTGGTCCGAACCCTACAATTATGCAGGCATTTCTCCTGTGGAGGCTCTCTGTACTGTATCCTCCTCAGTCCCTAAGGCTATATGGCCAGCCTTTGAAACCTAGATGGAGGATTCCCTACACTTACAGATCTAGGATTCTGTGGACCTGCAGAGTGAGCATCAGAGGGGTACCATCAAGGTTTTTGGGTTGTGCCCTCTGCCAAGACAACTGTCAAAGTCCACACTTTACCTGGACACAGTGGAACCTCAGCAGGAGACTTTGGTCAGTGGTGTGGGATCAACTGCAGTGGATCCAGTGCAATGAGCCATGAATTCACAGAAGTGCTCTTAGCCCTCTGCTATGCAGTTGTACTTTCATAATTCTGTTCTGTGGTATTGTGATGGGGTGACAGCTTCTGAAAGTGTTTGGGTCAATCTCTGATTTTCCTAATGAACAGGCCCCTGTGTCCTTCTGTCCACACCAACCTCCTCCTCACCAGTTCCCTTAGCCAAGGCCTGTGTTATTTCTTCCACTGTGATTTCCTCCTCCCCATTCTTCACTATGTGTCCAGGCTGATAATTTTCCATATCTGTAAGTTTGCCTTCCATTTGGCTTAAATTCCATGCATGTCCTGCCTCTCTTATTTGTTTTATACAAGCAGTAGGGGAAAGCAGTATCATCCACTCTCTCTGTGCTTAGAGATCCTCTGTCACATGTGCTGTCACACTGCCTTAGGTTTTTACACCTACAGTGTACTAGGACTTGAACACACTTCAGCCATGTCATGTGTCACTTTATACCAAGGACGTCCTGTCCTCCAGTTCCCAACAGCCTTTCCTCATTTTGATCTGAGACCTCACCAGAACTGCCTTCGTTATACATATTTTTGCCCATATATGGATCATGATCATCTAGATATTGTGGTTATGCCTCACATCACAGAGTTTCAGTCAATGATGAGCCACATATATGGCCATAGTCTCATAAAAGTGTAATGGACCTGAAACATTCTTGCAAGTTAGCTGCTGTGATGTCACAACACAGTGCGTTTTGCATGGGACAGTGGTGGGGCTCATGCAAAACAAAAACAAAAACAAAAACAAAACCCTGCACTGCCAGTCTCATGGGCATATAACTACATGGTTATAGACAGCACATATGTGACCATGATCAGGAAGGATGATGACTATTAAATTTTCTTCTCCTGAGCTCATATACTTGAACCTGTCTTGAGTGTGTTTTTCATCATGTCCTTGACTCTATTCTGTGTGGTGCTGTCCAACAATCCCTAATTATACTTATAATGTTTCCAATAAGAGGCCACTTTGAGCCATTGATCTGGGAAAAAAAGTATATTGACTAAAGATAATGGTTGTGGACAATGCTGTAGGTCATTGCTCTTTGGTAAGCCTGTCCCCCATCCACCTTAGCTCTGTTTTGAAATGGATAACAATCTTCTAGGTGTTGTTAAATAATCTTTCTTTTGTAAGACAGCACACTTGTAAACATTTGAGAAGGGCCTTCACCAGATATGTGGAACTTTCCAATGACCTGAGTTGAAGACCAGACATTGGCCCTCTGCCTGTCATCATGATAACCATCACAATCATAATAATTTTAATTTACCATGTCCAAAGTAAAGGCTGGACTTATGATGGTGTTGAATTTATTTTGAATCTTGAGTGATTTAAACAATTAAATATCAGTATACACTAAATAACATGAGAACAACTGGTTAGTGTGTGATTGCTGAAGTGAAGACAGTGGAGGAAACTTTACATAAGCTGATTGTGGAGAAATATTACTTTCCAGGGTAAATCATTCTGTGCCTTCCATTTGGCTTAAATTCCATGCATGTCCTGTCTCTCTTATTTGTTTTATACAAGCAGTAGGGGAAAGCAGTATCATCCACTCTCTCTGTGCTTAGAGATCCTCTGTCACATGTGCTGTCACACTGCCTTAGGTTTTTACACCTACAGTGTACTAGGACTTGAACACACTTCAGCCATGTCATGTCACTTTATACCAAGGACGTCCTCTGCTGGGAATTATGGCTGTCAGCATTTGCATCCATAAGAAGAAACAGGGCCAGTGCCATCTTTCAATGTTTTTAAAGAAATGATATCAGTTTTCCTTGTGTTGATGATGCAGGCTACCTTCGAATCCCTTTCTGATCTGGACCACTGAGAATCCACACTGACTTCTTGGCCATTTCTTCTCTATCTCCAAGACCCACTGCCAGTGTCTTGGTTGACACAGGGCTATGTGCAGACACTTTGGTATAGTTCTTAAAATTCTTCACAGCAGCAGCTGATGACTAGTCCTTTGATTCTATAAGGTTGTTACTGTGGTTTCATTTAAAGACCTTTCCAGGTCCAGGCAACCCTACAGAAACTCAGTAACTATGTGCAGTTGTTTCTGGCAGAAGAATTAGTGATGAATTATGCATGGTAGTATTATGTAGGCTCAGGGTTACTCATAATATCTAAGAATCTATTGGTTAAGGACAGGCAGCTGAATCTGGACCAGGCAATATCTGGAAACTCAGCTAATAAACACGTAGATTCTTGCATCTCACCTAGAAAAAATCCACCCACAATGTGTAGGTGGAGAAAATGAGGTTTATTTTAGTGAAGGAAGATGTGTGGCATGGTTCTGCCATGGGGGTGAAAGAGGACAGGAGCAAGTGGAGAAAGTGCTAGGGCTCTTTTCATTTGAGCCATGGAAGAAAAATCTGGGTGGTTCTTACAAGTTGTTCTATGGTAATTGACAGTTTAAATTTAC